CATTTGAGGTGTTGCATGCGTAGTGTACGTATACATGAACGTATATCTGGTGAAAAAGTTGTGTGGCAGAAGAAAAGTTTATGTTTTATTTGCCTATTAAATAAACGCAATATGCAAGGGCAGCAAGGCTTCATTTTCTGTAACGCACATTATGCATATACACTGAAGTATATATAGATCCAGCACAAGTTCATACACGATTGTACGCGTTTATATTTTTGCCCACACGCAATGAATGGAGCTCGACAGGTGGTGCACCATCGATAATCAGGACCACTTTCTTCAAGTAGTGTTTAATCAGTGCATGCTGATATCTATTGGTGGCAGTATTCGCCACCCCTGCCATGGGCACTCAACACCCTTGTGCACCCTTCTCGCACCCTCCTCAGAGGGTGCTAAAAAAGTGATGGACATCGAAGGCACCCTTTCTTAAGGGTGTTGTTTTAACACCCTACAGTTTTTTTACATGTACACCCTATTCTAAGGGTGCATGGTAAAGCACCCTTTTTGGAAGGTGCTGAATTAACACCCTTAGGGTGTCGTCCACGGGACAAGCTCATTTACACCTTTCTGGGTGTAAAAATTTTTACTGTGTACCGAAGTTTGTCTGCCTTAGACTGAATAACACGTATGGGCTGTGACATCACCGCCGCATTTGCCCATCAATGGATGAGAATGGCCGTGTTCACACTTAGCAAAAAAAGCCTGCAACGCATGAGCATTGTCCTTCGGCGATCACGGGCTTCGTAAAAACACTTCGCAGCCGCACCGAGGTTTTATGTGCGTCTCAACATTCACACGTGATCTGTGCAAAAACAAGTATTTCATTGTCGACCTTGCCCTTGGCCACAAGCAAAATGAGGTACTCGGTAGCAAGGACACTTTCACCTTCGACAACGCCACGTTTCCACATTGCACTATAGAAAATGCAGTACATCCAACAGCAATAATTAACCCACACTTCAATGAGAAACTTTATGGCGCACACACCCAGATGAAGCTGCGGCGCAGTGGACGGCCGCGCTTCATCTCCTGCGCAGCTCCAACCTCCTGGATCAAATCAGCGCCATCCAGCAAGCCCATTGGGCAGCGAGGAGACAGGGTCTCTGGTTCACCTCGGGGGCGGCCTAGGCCCAGGCCACGAATTTGCCTGAGTTTCCAATGAAATTGTGACCACCACCACACATCGCAGCTACCATCTTTGCCACTGTTACCTTTCGCAGCCACAGTAGGGTTTCCTGATGCGTGCGCTTCCTTGCAGGGTGAAGTCGCTCTTTGAAGGGGCGAGTGCCTCCTTCCAATCGGCGGCCGCCATTCGGCTCCCCCTGTCTCGTCGCGGCTGGTTGAGTGAAACAGGTGCGTGGCGTTTTCTCGGGCAAGATACCCGGTTGTTGCGTGCCACAGTGCACAAACCGCTTGCGAAATCGCTATAGGATGTTAAGATTTCCGAACGACCCTAAAAGGCGACTCTTGTGGCTGGTAAAGATCAAGCGCGACGAATGGCAACCCACGGACCGTGCGTGTTTGTGCAGCTTAAGTTATGCCATTTCACCATTTCGAGAGTTATAACTGAAATCGCTGTCACACGGGCACTTTTGATCCCGATCGAGCCTGCTGTGATTGACTCTCTTACTCTAGCTGCAGAGGGAAGCCAATCACTGTTTATAAACGTGATCCCCATCGGGCTCAACCGAAATCACCAGTGCATGGGTGTAATACACGTTTATTTGAATGCTGTATACATTTGTATTTAACACGTACTCGTTAATTTTGAAGAGCACAACATCCGTTGTTCCTAATCGCTTCTCGCACATAAGCTGCAGTTGCGCGAAGATGTGCGCCTACGTTGTGAAATTGTTGCTACCAGCGCCTTCAGATATTTATTTGTTCAAGATGTAACATCACACTGAAAGCACGCATCCCGTGAGTTCATTTTCTCAATGTCTTTTTTTTTTTTTTTTAAGAAACCGACTATTGATAGATTGATACGTGGAGTTTAACGTCCCAAAGCCACCATATGATTACGAGAGACGCCGTAGTGGAGGGCTCCGGAAATTTTGACCACCTGGGGTTATTAAACGAGCACCCGATTCTGAGCACACGGGCCAACATTTCCGCCTCCATCGGAAATGCAGCCGCGATTCGATCCCGCGACCTGCGGGTCAGCAGCCGAGTACCTTAGCTACTAGACTACCACGGCGGGGTTAAGAAACCAACGATATTTCACTTATTTCTTTTTAGCCCATCGGCTTCGCCTGCAGCAACCCACCAGTCTGGTTGGCGAGGCCAAACACACTTTGACTCGCGAATCGCCGGCTGCCTAGAGAAGATATGCGCTGCAGTTAACTTGCAGTGAGTTGTAGCGCTTGTTTATGAAGTATATTAAATCGTCCAAATAATGCTTTGACAACTGAACTTGCCGTATATTGAACGCAATTTGCTTACTCATTATCTTAAAGCCGAATTCATTTTAACGATATTGATGAACCTTTTATAACAATTACTAATTCACAATATATTCCTGAGGAAAACACGCTAAACCTGCCTTAATAGTCTGATAGATATGTGGGGTTTAACGTCCCAAAACCACTATACGATTATGAGAGACGCCGTAGTGGAGGGCTCCGGAAATTTAGACCACCTGGCGTTCTTTACCGTGCACCCAAATCTGAGCACACTGGCCTACAACATCTGCCTTAATAGTCAATGTCTGCATGCGAGTCATGATTTAATGTAATAAAAGCCAAATAGTGTGATACGTATTCAACAATTTTTTTGCCAATCTGCTGTTCGGAGTAATGTAAAAGAGATGACAGTAAATCCAAAGAACTGTGCATTGCAAGGTACGGTCTGTGAATGAGGTAGCTGATGAATCATTTGAAAACAAGACATGAAAATATGGTACGCAATCAGTTTTTCTCTTTTCAACAACAGCACGTTGTTTCTATTCTTTTTTTTTTTAGCCGGCTGGCAAACTTTTTTTACACTTTCGTGGAAGGCATACAACTTACAGATAAAATGAAAGGTCATGATACTTGGGTGCGTGTATTTCACATCTTTAACCTATACAAAGAGCTACCGACTAGCCCAAGAAGATGCCAGTTGAAGGTGCACGTTAACGCGGCTCGCGTCTACCCGATAGAGGGGGCTACTCTCGAGACATTCTCGGAACACGTTGTGACGTCATTTCGAGCTCCCGAATGGCTTTAAAGGGGACCAATCAGCAGGCTTCGACTTTTTTTTAGGCCCTCCAAACAAGCTCGCGCATCTTTCGTATGCCTGTCCAACCTCTTTCCTCGTGCAGTAACGACAACTCGGCGATCGGTGACGTTGACTTCATTACTCTTTGCTGAGACCTGCTTTATACCAATCGACTAGCTCCGTGCTGCGTCACGTCACCGAGTTGACGTCACTGCGCATGTAAGGAGATTGGTCACGCATAGAAAAGATACGCGAGTTTGTTTGGGGGTGTGTGAAAAAAGTAGGAGCCTGTTGTCTATGCCTTAAAAGGAGAGCCGATGAGGGGAGTGGTGGTCCGCTGCACGGGTTGAATGTGTCCTGGCTTGCTCCCTGGCCTTTCCTCTCGCGTCTACAGGCCGGTACGAGTCGGAAACAGTGTCTTAGACTGTTGGTGTTTTATTGATCCCCTGGCGAGCTTCACATTTCACAAAACCGGAATATACTGGCGACGCCATAACGTTACACAATCAACTTTCATGAGGTAAGGATCGAGGCAACCACTATGCAATTTTGCGCAAAAGCGTGGTACCCGTTACACATTTCAGGCATAAGTGCATTTTGTACTATGGCCATTAACAATGGAGAGCTATTTCTAAGCTCATTGTATTGGGTTGGAAGCATTCTACAACCCACTCAAGCAATTCACATTGTGTTATGCCTGGTTGTTAGTTTACCCTTTTTGGGATCACAATGCATACATTACCATGATTCCTTGACTGGCACGACAACTCTCTTTGCAAGGCAGTTCCATGAAACAGTGTGGCTCTGGAGTAGAATACCTAACTGTCACGCCGAGGGCCTGGGTTCAAATGTCATCCTTGAGATATTAAGGGCAACGCTCCTTAAGGCGTGGGTCGGTCATTACCTGTATGTATGCATGTATGGGGTAACCATCTCACAGCATATCTACGGAGTGAATGATGAGTGGGGCGAAGCTTCGGCGGGTTCTACCGGCAAACCGTAAATCATCCGCTAGCAGGGTATATCCGTCGTCAATGTGTTTGATGCACGCACGAACGAACGAACGCAGGGACGGATGCACAAATAGAAGCACAGGCGGACGGACGGAAGTGCGAACAGACGCTTCTCCCCACTCATTATTCACTCCGTAGATATGCTGCGATTTTTTTCTCAATTCCTTCTTACTGACTTCGTATGATATCAGTTACAGACACCAGCTGTAGCAACGGCATATCAATATGGTGGTGAAACCTGCTGTCGTGATCTTACTTAAAAAGAAACTGCCTGCAGAAGTCCTCTAATATCAATATTATTTGCTGGGGTTTAACGTCTCAAAACAACGATATGATCATGAGAGATTCCGTAGTGGAGTGCCCTGAAAATTTTGACCACCTGGGGTTTTCAACGTGCACCTGAACCTAAGCACACAAGTCTAAAGCAGTTTCTCCTCAATCGACAATGCAGCCTGGATTCGATCCCGCAACATGTGGGTCAACAGCAGAGTGCCTTAGCCACTATACTATCGTGGCAGGTCTGCAGAGCTCCTCCAGCGGTCCACTTCTATATAAAGCTGTGGTCCTAAGCTTAGCTTCATGTCTCGTGCCAAGAAGGAATACAACCAACATGCTACAGCGATGAATGAAGGAAAGGAATTTTGAGGGTTTGTTTGAAACCAGTTAATTAAGAGCAGCACATAAAGCTGGTTTTCATTAAAGTATTACAATTACCGTATTGAGCAAACTTTCACATGCACACTGAAAGTGTAGATGAAGCTTATCAGACACGAAAGTACAATGATCCGTGGTATATAAAACGAAATTTTTATTTGGCAACAGCAACAAGCTAGCCCATATAGCTGCTTGTGTAGTGTCACACGACCCAAATTCAACCTTCTAAAAAAAAAAGAACCTGTCAACATTTCATTAGCAAACACATACACAAAATACCTACAAAAAGTGAAAAATATATGTTACACACTATGTACAATGAACACCAGTTCTTGTTGCAAAATATAATACCTTGCTTCATAATGGCAGTTCGTATCGCACACCAGAACAAGTGCGCTGGAGGTATCGTCCAAAGGACAACTGACCTCCCATAAAAATAGGCAAGCCTCTTTCCCATATCCGCAGTTTCTCATATACGACAGTGTTGACTGAAAGTTCGACACACACGTCACATGGGTAGGAAGGCAGGCACGAGGAATACTTTTTCAAACCACGCGGTCTAAAAGGAACGCTTCGTAAGGTGCCACCATTCCTGAATACAAACAGGAAACAAGTACCCCCTAGCACACCCGCAAACACCTTATGTTCCACACAGGCCCATTGCCACACTGTAGTTGCGGCAGAGGCACGCAGAGCAGCCGACAAGGCTTCCACGAGAATGTCATTTTCATGTAGCCATTTCAATTCATTCATAACCGAGGAATGTTGGACGCTGTCACAACCTCCAGCTATGCCACTGCCGATTCCTCCTGCACTCTGCACGCACAAAATGAAAGGGCTTTCATGTGACCAGCTGTCTCTTCAACCACTGAAGTGAAACCGTCAGTGCCGACAGCCCTCTAAATGCAAAAACAGGGAAGCAACTAAGGCAGATTTCAAGGGCATGATGGCACACTGAATGGACTCGGACAAAAGGACACTTGTTGAAGGACAGCGCACAAAAACACCGTCCCCATTCCTTCAGCATGTTGCAGGCACTGAGCACTTAGGTTTGCCCCGCGAAGCAAGCAAGGTTTTAGGTGCACTAGTGTATTCTCCCATAATGCTTCCTTTTGCTTTTCCCTGGATTCATGGTACAGTATTCCTCACACCCTACTATGTGACCAACAGTTATGGTATGTGCCCGGTGCATGTGCAGCAAAGTGATATAAAGAAAAAACAAATGTAGAAATCTCTTTACTTAACCAATTAATGAAACTAGTATTAGTTTTGAAGCGCAGAAGCCCAGGTGTTGTTTAAGAGAGCCCTAAAATGAGTACTGACACTAAAGTTTTGTAGTTTGCTTTTAGATTAAATGCTAAATAATGGCAAAACTGTCATGGCTGGATAGCTACAGTGCACAATGGCCTCTTGTTTGGTGAAATATTTATATTGCCAACTCAGAATTTCAGCTTCAGGGAGCACTGCAAAAAGGTGGGTCAGGACGGCTGACATGCAGGTACAGCAAACCGTGTGACCAACACAGAACTATCACATGCATGTCATGTGCAGTAAAATGTGCACATAAGCACCACGTTGACAGCTTTGTTTGTGTACGCTTTTTAGAATGTCTCCACCATTGTTCTCATCCCGAAACTTTGAGCTTTGTGGTGTGGGTAGGTCCAGCCAAGCTGATGATATCATGATGCACAGCATGCGCCTAGAATTTTATTTAAAATATGCTCCAGGCTATATTTGTTTATATTTATTAAAAGTGTGTGTTTCCACGAGACGATCTTGCATGTAATCTTGCTTTAAATATTTTGAGTCAGAACGCTTTTAGGACGATCTTAAGCATAACTTCCACCTTGCACCTGCTTCTGTAGTTAATTAACTTTCGTTTCAGCGACCGTCACATGTGGTCACCCTGGCACACAACGCCTGACTTAGAATTGGACTCTTTGCATGCAAACATAACGTAACTGAACTGAAAAATAAGGACCTCAAGTGAAGTTTTGAAGCTTATTAATTTCACAGCATAAATGTCAAGAATCTGCCTCAAGAACCAGCCACAGGGAGCCTCAAGGCCTACTTGACCTTTTTAGCAACAAACTGCAACCAGTACCATTTATGAAATGGTAACGAGCCTATCAGCAAGCAAAGGGCGGACAACTCCCCTAGACAGCGTTTTTCTTTTTCTCTACGAAGAAGCTACAAATGGTAATTTACGCTTCCGAGCACCATACAATCAATGCCTAGGAGCCCTTTTTATAGTCTGACTCGCTCTTTCACTGCTGTCATCTCAAACTGAGCCCTTCAAAAGGTACTGACAGTGCGAACTGTCAAAGATTACTGTGCCTTAGGGATCAAACATAGTAAACTCTGTTTCTTTTTCAACACTGGGCTGATGGCACTGATAGAGCTATAAGAGATAAGTTATTGCTGCTTCTTAAAAAGGACACTGCTAACACAAAAAAGCTTCAGACCTTTCAACGTACAGGCAGCACTGTCATCTATCCACCCAAAAGTGATAAATAAGACTTTATACAATTGAAGCAGCGATAACCAGAAGTTTACGTTGCCTAAACAGATGCCCATGCCATAAAAAATGATCTGAAATCCCTGTCAGCAGTACACTGTCTTGCTCAGCTGACTACACTGTCAAATGAGCACCCTGAATGGAAAACAATACACCCAAACAGCACGACCTGCACATCTCAAAACTCCCCTGCTTCGATGCCATGCTAATGGCACAAAATATAAGACTAAAATGACTGAGTCAACCCGGCTCTGCAACCGTCACCAGAGAGCAGATGGCAACCTCCTTCATAATGCCCCTAATGTGGCCAGAGAAAGCTAAATAAAAGCACAAATAGCGCAAAATTGCACACACATGCCACTATAATAATGTTCATGCTTTCTGCTGCCGCTCGGCTAGTTTAAAACTAAGTGCATGGGCTGCGTGAGCTCGTGCGCTTTCAAAGGCAACAACGGTAAGACTTCAAAGCAAACACACACAGATGGAGGCTTCCACCAAACTGCAACAATTGGTGCTGCAGTGCTACATCAACAGCGAACAGATTCCTCAGATGCGACTAAAATACACTTTGTAAAAACCTCGTTTCTGTGGCAGCACCAGCGAGCAGACAAATAATGTGGATCTTTGTCTCTGTGCGCACCACCGCAACAGCCCCTCGGAGTCTGTCCTCAAGCAAGAGAGGACACGGTCTAAAAAGCCATCCCGGTCAAAAGCATAAATACAAAACAGCAAACGAACAAAACAAACAGACAATGGAAGGGCTCAACACAAGACAGACATGCACAACACATTCAAAGAAGGGACAAGGTCTTAGACGTGTGGTGCAGAATCACATAGATATGCTAACATAGGCTCAACATGTTTGATTTCCCACGGCCAGTACTGTACAGCTATGTTGTCCACCTGACATCGTGCACGAGCAGGAAACTGTGCACACACAAGCGTGCTGCGGCAGTGCTACGTGAAGGGGGAAGGGGGAGGGCGTCACCGGGGGAAGAGCCGGCAACGGCACGGCGCCTGTTTTTTTGTACTTGTCGGCACAGACAGACAGTGAGAGAGACTGAATTGGAAATCGAGCGAGCGGACATCACTTGGACGGGGGGCAGAGGTCGGAGAAGTCGTAGTCGTCGAACAGGTCGGCAATGCCCTCGGCCTGGTCAAGAGTGAAGGCATAGTCCTCTTCAGAGAGCGGGGGCTCCAGCTGCACAAAGCTGTCCACCAGCAGCTGGTCCTCCGTCTGTACCAGCAACTGCCGGCCGCCCATCGGTCCGAGGTCATCCTCTTCGGAGATGAGGGCTCGCTTTAGCACGACCTCCTCTGCATTGAGAAAAGAATCGGTTTGGTTACTCCATGTGGTAGAAGAACCAGAGTGAGCACCAACATTTTTATAAAAGGCTTTGCACAGTTTCGCTCATCTTGCTAACACAAAAACGTTGCCAAGATAAAATGAAACGCATAATAAAGTATCTCCAAGAGTATTTTGTTTTCCTTGTTTAGCTCTGTGCATCACAGTAGAATGATAGTTCGCAGCCCATAAAGAAAAAAAAAAGCACTACTCTGTACTCTGGAGCATCTAGTGTGAATCGGTACCGTATTTTTTTGCATATAACCCGCACCCCCAACTATGAACTCCCCGAACAACAAAAACGAAAAATCCTCGCATATAACTCGCATGCCTAGCTTAAAGAAACTGTTTTGAGAAGTCACAACTGCACAGTACATTCCAATCTCGTTGACAAAAAAACTTAATTTTAAAGCGATCGCCGCAACGTTGACGGCGCCGATTCCCGTTCCTTCAACCATTGTTCGACTCGCTGCTTTCAACCGAGGCTTCATTGCCACTCTCGCCGCCACGTCGAAAATCCGTGCCAGGCCATAAATCGCTGGAGCCATCCACAGCTCGCACGAAACTCGTGCGAGATGTTCATCTTGCAGGCCAACCTGAGCGCTTCCATTCGCGCTAACTCCGTTGACACAGCGTGGCCGCGACTCCCCCACTTCTCAATAAATTTGACAAGCTGCGTCTCAACAAAGTGGTACACACCAGTCTTTGGGCCATGAAATGCTCGCTTCTCCTTGTGTGCACTTTTGAGAGAGGCTTTTTTTTTTCCCGCGAGTCGCGAATGCAAGACTCGTCGGCGTCTTGCCTCCTCGCAGCAGTTCTTGCAGATTTCTTCCGCAGCAGCTACAATCTTGAGTTCTTCTTTCGCGGTGAAAGATTGCCGCCAAGACCCACCCATCGTGCCTCACCAGACAAGGCTGACCATCGGTGCAAACTGGCCACAACTGACTCGGAGAAAGATGCTGTCAAATCGCAGTTGTGACGCTGTTGACCAAACCGAACAAAGCACGCAAAAAGTGAATAAACACGCTACGGAGGGGATCTGTCTATGGCATAAGTTGGCTTTTATTTGCTTTGCACCAGTCGATGCTGATGGGGATGCGGACTGCACGGGAGGCCATGCATTGCCGTGAAGCCGACCTCTGCTTCTGGATTATTTGCAGACAACCTGCAACCCCACTTTTCAGGCGATTTTTTCAATTTTCAGTGCAGGGTATACGAGAGAAAATACGGTAAATTTTTTGACACTGGACTGCACGGGAAGCACTGCTGCATGCTGAGATTCACTGGCACTTCAGTGTTGTGGATGGCAAGAGCTAAGACGCTGACGAAGACGCACGAAACACAGCAGTTTTCACCGCAGTTCACTGGAACATGCCAGAGGCTGTACTGCTCAGACTACTACCGCGATGCGTCCAGTTGATTAACAGTGGAAAGCATGTTGTGTTTGACTGAATGCAACCAATAGCTACTACTCGAAGACACCTCAAATATCTGCAAGTATTCCTCAATTAAGGAGGAAGGCTATCCAGGAAACCAAACTTATTTATTTTTAAGACATCTTGATGAAACTTTCAGGGCATGTTCACTACAATAAAACTAGAGAAACTGCAATGTTTCATGAAATTGTGTTACTGTTACTACAGTTACTGAGGTCTAACTGGGTGGTCCACTTTTATGCCTGAAGAAGAGCCGGAAGAAATCCCAGGGCATACGAGACGGCTGAAATGATTTGTGGTCATCCCTGGATATATATCCTAGGGCATTAACGAGCCATTTTTTCAATTTCCCCTCCAAAATTTTTTTTTTGCCAGGACACCTCCCACGGGCGTACCAGAAATGACAGGTGAGTGAAGCCGCCTGCTACAGCGAACGTCACTTGATTGCACTGGGAGATGTTGTAGATGCTGCCATCTAGGACAAGCCAGGCGAACCCGGTGCGCGTGTGCTCGAGGTGCGCGTGGCGCATGGCTGGGCTCCTAGGCTAGAACGCGGTTTTGGTGTGCCCACGTAACCCAGCCTCCTGCCTTCTCGCTCTTCCCCGACGACTTCAAAACTGATTGAAAATACAGTGCAAGGCAAAACGAGTCTCGTGAGCAGACCTATGTCGAGACAGATGAAGCAGAGAGCAACAGCGAGACGAGCGCGCCAAACCTACCATTGCCGATAGGGACCGCCCCCACTTCCAGCCAATGGCGGGCGCGCTTTCGCCCGCGAGATATGAATGAGCTACTCTAGCCGATCAGCACTCCGAATCGCATCCCAAGGAAATGCCGATAGCATCTCAACCGTGCCGTTGGCACTATTGTGAAAAGCAGCAAACGAGAGAGAAAGAACTGCCGGTCAAAACAAGACCAAGATGGCTCGGGATGGCCGCATGGTCTCAGAATGGCGCGCGCGCGAAATTTGCTTTGATTTTGTCTTTTGCACGTGTTTTGGCCGCTGCGACGGCTTCGACAATAGCATTCTTTTTGCACTTTGAGGTTGAATGAGGCGCTGCTATTTACAGAATACGCAGTTTATGTGACACAACCCAACAATATGGTTTTCCAAAAACCGACTCTTTCACAATTTTTTTTTGGTTTTCAAGGTCCGCATCCCCCCCCCCCCCCCCTAAAAAGAAGATCTGAATCAGATGTCGCACTATTCCTTAAGACACGATACGTGGAATGTCACGTTTGCTTGTCTGTGGAGAAGAGTAAACAAAAAGGGTAAACTAGCCAATGCTGATGACTCAACTGTGAGGCAAATGTTTCTTTCTTTTTGTCTGAATTCATGGGGCATCGACAAGGACACCACTTAAATTCCAATGAATCCTAGCGGCACAGTGGAAAGGAATGCGGCTGGTAATCAGAAGGTGGCAAGCTCGAAACTTGAAAACAGAAGCATTTTTTGTTTTTTGTTTCCTTTCTTCTTAGACAGCTTTTCTTTTTTTTATTTGCGCTAATGCCATCTACATGATTTTCTTCTTATATTCAAGAATATCAGGTAAGCAACGTGCAGTATTCTCTCTGAAACTCTTTTGCACTCCGCTACAGAGTCCCCCTCCAGCGTGCTATGTCACATAAAAATTTCAGCTCTAAATACTCAAAATTGAAAAAAAAAAATTTAAGACCAGTGTCTTCCCTAAACTTGATGCCACGTGTGCTTTGCTCTCACTCCGTTCAAATAGTCTGAATAGTCGCTCAGTTCATTGCGCTACAGTCTCGGTGCCTATACTTTTCATGCAGTGCAAAGTAACTGCAGACATAAGACAACAAAAATGTGCTGACAGGAGTGACACATCAGCTCATTACATTAAATCTGAGTTGGAACATTAACCGCACTGCTAATTAGAAATTTGAACGTTCAAGAGTGCAACATTAGTAGATGACGTAAGCCAGCAGGTGCTAGAAACCCATGAGTAATGAACTGTTGCAGGTACCATAGATCATTGGGAGCTGAACGTACGAACACCTGTGTTGAACAACATCACAGGGAATGTTTATAGAAAGGCCAGTGCTGCTCACCCGTGGAGGGTCCTGCCACAGCAGTAGATTGTGCTGCCTCTTCGTAGTCCCCTAAGGAAGACGACGAAGGCTGGCTGCTCACAGGGACCTCTGTATCGCAGTTGACATGTCCCACGGGGTCTTCGGGGTTGGACAGGTACACTTCAATCTCCCCTTTATCACTCTTGAGCCAGATCTGCAGGCCCTGTTCAAGGAGGCACATGAAAGAGCTTTTAGCCTTACATACATAATGCACATCATGTTGTGACATGAATGAAAAAGAAAATACGAAAAGAACAAACAAGAAACCACATGACCAACACAAGCATGGGCTTGCAATTCAAGGTTTTGTAAATATAATGAAAAAAAAAAGGTTTAAAAATCACATTATACAGCAATCTACAAGTACAATAACCAGCATGAGATGTTATGAACACACAGGTAACTTAAACAGCCTGGAAAGTCATTGGCGAAGCTAGAATATTTTAAGAAATGATGCCACTTTCTCTGGATAAGGCAATACTAGACGTGCAGCTAACTCATTTATTCTACAGTGTGTTTGGAAATTTTTCTGTAGGTTCCCTTCAGAGTTTAGCTGCATATCCAGGTCTGAATCAAGTTCTCCTGAGCTGGCAGTAGAAATAGAAGAAAAAGAACTGCACTTTTTTGCTTGCGAAACAAAAGGCACTTCAGAAAAAAAAAGAGAGACAAAAGCTGAACTGTTGATTCGAAGAAGTTTTAGCTTCATTTACGAAGCAGTTTGATAGCGATTTCTTTCAAACGAAATTCTATCCACCAAGATATGAGCATAACAAAACAGAAGTACATTGCTGTGACAGAACATACAAGCAACAATCGCAGTGGCCAATACACGCTTTTTGATATACAGTATAAATCCGGCAATAAACAAAACTTAAGAACATCCTTACATAAATTGGAATCTAATTAAAACATTGCAAAACCAGAGAGACATTACATGGCACTGCCAACTTGGGTCAATTTCCAGGTAGCTGAAACATGCTTTGCTTGCAGTAATGCAGGAAGTAACAAATCACTTGGTCCCCAAGTGATGTACAAATGAATGGGATTTCCCATGGTTCACATGATCTACTAGCTTAATTGGTGCAAGTGATGGCAATGAAAAATCTCGAGTGACTAAGCATCGTGCTTGGGCCGAGTTATACGACTGTGATAACCTATTGAATGATGCCGCCGAAGCTCTCAAGTGCCCGCATGTGCAATCTTATCCCACTTCCCTCTCCCCTTTAGTTTCCTATATATTCACGAGTGTAAACAAAACCACTGGCTTTTTGTTGGCATGATCCGACTGCCTTGTTTACTGCAGGAGTGACGTTGCGGTCTCCCATGCAACAAAGACCCAGTCCTTTTCTTTAAAGTAATGTAAAGGGCTGGGTCATTGTTGCACAAAAAGCTCTTTCTTTACAGTAATGTAAAGGAAGGGCTTTATCTTGATATGTTCTACATCCCCACAATGTGTTGAAGGGTGCTTCAAGCAGACCTTCATAGCTTGCATATTATAGGCCACATACATACCTACCTGCAAACCTGGCAACAGAGAAATTCATAAAACCCTCCTGCGGGGAAGGGGGGCGGTTACAGACTTTTTTTTTTATTTGTACCTATCATGAATTTGCCTTTAGCAAAAAGCATAATCATGATTTGTCCGCCATAAGTCAAATAGGCACGCTGAATTATTTTTCCCTATTTTAAAAACAATCACTAAAAACAAGAGAGGAGGGAAAGGGTCCCAAACGCAAGTCAGTGCGAACATTGGCGTTGTGGTCTCATGATGGCTTGGAGTGGCTAAACACACGAGGGTACGGCTTCCCAGTAAGGTGAGAGTCTCAAAGGGGGAGCACTAATTTCACATCATGAAAACAAGAAGAAAAAAAAATAAAACGATTTTTGTCAGAACTAGCGTATGTCTTCACAGGTGAACAGACGGAATTGCACAGCTGGCTGCCGCAAAAATGCGCAAAGCTTTGGCTTTGCTCGCTACTAGATTCTTTGGACAGGAACACCAAAACGCTTCTAGCCTTTTTTTTTTGTTACATAATAACCGCCTTTAAAGGGAGATGCGGGTCGAAAAATGCGAGTTTTTTCAAAATTACCGATTTTTCGTTTCTGCCTTTTTTGATAAGATTAGTACTTCTGCTGTTATCAAAAAATAATACAGGTCGAGACCTAACTGGAAATGCTTTTAAATTGCATCTAAAGAGCACAAGGTGTCTAATAAAGGTCGAAAGTGTGCAGTCTTCGAGCACCTTGCTGGCGATAATGCGCCGCCGCTCGCCATTGTTGATCGCATGAGTCGAAGATTCGAGCCTCACTCTTCAAATACCAACAGATTCTCTTGCTGATGCAGCGCAAGAAATAATAAAAAGAAGCACTCTTCTGCATGTTTTTTGAGCGCCGCGACTGACTTATCACAAGGTACGAATCGGGGACTGCCAATGGCCGCTGCGCGCCTGTATGTGCTGTGAAACCTATTTGCGGAATCCATGTCTTGTCGAGCAGTGCAGCTGAACAATGCTTTTCTCGTGTAATTATCTCCGTTATGAATGAAAAAAAAAAAAAAAGCATCGCTTGCAAGTGAAAGCCGTTGTGCGGCGCGCCCTGTAGGTATAGGCTACGAGCAGCTGGTTTGATTTGCGGCAGTTGTTGGCTTGCAAAAACCAATGCATCAAAAGTCATTCACCAGAAGTTAGTCAGCCAGAAAGTTCTTGATGCGGCAATGGATGACGTCAGCGCCAATCTTGAGAGGTCGAAAGAGCTCGCAGTGAGAGAACTTAGCAGGGACGACATTTCCATTATGTACGACGGTATGTGGCACAAGCATGGCTGCAAAATGGCATGACACTCGACTTAGTATGTATTTCGCAGTCCTGTCGAACTTCTTCCTAGCTTGCAGTTGGCACAAGGCTGTGCCAGATGGAGCGGAAGTTTGGCAAGCGTTTCATGGCCCTGTCTGTGAGCGAAATGTCTGTTGAGTTGGCTGGAAAAAGCCGAGAGGGACAAACTCATAGTGCTGGCGTATTTTAGTCTCAGTGGCCACTACAAGAAGCATTGTTCTTTTTGGTGTGCAAATTTCATCTTATTTAATGATATATTTCATAAATAAAAACTCAATTTTAACTTTAAAACTCGTTTTTCTCAAAACACAAATTTTGCCATTTTTTCCAATGTGCCCCTTCTTTTTCGGGCACTTCTAGTGCTCGGATCTGCTTGAAATTTTGCACCAAGTTTTTTTCCAAAGCATGACAAATGCAATTATCTAGTTTAAATTTCAATATTTTATTGTATAATGAAAAAAGTTGTATGTATACCTTTACTAGGGTAGGTGAAATATGGACTTTTTACGTCTGTTATTTATCACGCATTTTACATATTTTGTATGTGCTTCCTAATTAGTTATTTGCATTCTACACTATATTTTAAACGTTATGAACTATGAATGATAAAAAATTACGGAAGTTCAGAGACGAAAAGAGGGGGGGCAAAAGGATTAAGGTTTTCACTTTCATTAAGGTTTAGCTCATTTTGCAGAGCTAAAAGCAAGCAACTTGCAAGAAAATAATCATATATTTGAAATCAGCATAAAAAGTTCCATAAACAGCTCATGTTTCATTGCTCTAGGGTGAATATTAAAAAAAGTTTATTCGACTAGTATCTCCCTTAAGGGGGGGACATGGGTTCTAAATTTTTTTTAAATTTTTTGCTCAATCTTAACCAAACTACACTACCTAGGCTAGTTTTTCATGCTGATTTCAAATTTCCAATTTGTTTCTTAATATTTGCAAGTGGTTTAGAAAATATGAAGGTCTGAATCTTATTGATTGCATACTTCTTACGGGACTTCTTGGCAATTTATTCTTGCTAAATCCGAAAAAGTGAATGCATAATCCCAATGCTGGAGACTTGCTGTAGGGGGTGATGCTATTTTTATCCATTCGAAGGCATTTTATAAGCAAGAAAACGTACCAACACTTATGGTCACTATATTAAAATAAATTTCTCTCACTAAAATCTTCAATGGTAATTTTTGAGGTGATGCTAGAAAAATAGAAATAGCATCACCCCCTAGATCATGTCAAGATGAATAAAATGATACCAACTTTGTCGCATTCACTCAAGTTTAACATAGGAAAAACCCCCGTAAGGTCGAGTGCACTGTGCAAAAACATCGAACTGAGAAAAACGCGCTTGAAGTTTCTAGCAACTTTAACTTTTGCTAAAGTGAAGCTACAGCGATATTAATGACATCATTCTTTAGCTCTATGTTATAGGATAAATGGCCATGCTAAATTTCACTGTACCCACCCAGAATACTGCTCACAGCTTGTTCTAGAACTATAAAATAGTCATTGACTCAGCATTAGAATTATTATGTTTTTTTACTTTGTGGTCGTTCCATGCCTTGCAAGTGAAAGGAACACACAAAAAAGAAATCATGTAATAATGTTGTCCTTGGATAGACAATAGATTTACACAATGTTTAGGCCTAAAACTATGAATTTTATTTTTGCAAAAATTCTCACTATTTGCCATCATGACTGTTTACAGCAGACCAGGGCTGTAAGCAGAGTCCCCTGCTGGCTTGTGATGCTTTGAAAGTCTTTCCTTTATTGAACTGCTGTCGAGATTCTCTCTTCGCAATTTTTGCAGCCTGCCCTTGTCCTTCTCAAGGCTGCGACGCACCAAGTTATTGCCAGCGCTGTAGCCCAGCTTCTCGGCAATTTCCACGTTGCTCTTGATTGTGCCTTGGTTGAAACGGCTGACGGCTTTGGCAACTGCCCTTTCAATGCTCCGCAAGGATGCATGCTGAGTTTTGGAGGCCTGCTGCCAAATCATAGCGTACAGGCTCTCACTTGGGTTCTGGGTGATCCCATCGCTGCACCTTTCCAAGAGGGCATTGTCGCTCAGCCGCCTAAACACAGGCTCCAATGCCTCAGTTAAGAAATCAGGCAGGCTGTCCTTGTGTGGTGGCGGCTTCTCATTTTTCGCAAGAGCTCTCTGAAATTTGCACCAGGATTCAGGGCCTTCAGGGCAAAGGTCATGCTTTGGTGCCTCGTCAGTTGAAGACATGTGGTTCAATGTTGCTAGAACAGCCTTCTGTATACCTGGAACATCGTTCCTGTCGCTTCTCAATGCGTAGCCATAGTATGAGGTGATCTTTATCTTTTG